CGGAGATATCTTTTCAAACATTGAAACCAAAATTACACAATCACAAAGCAACAGAGAGGGGACAGATTAGTTCTCTGTTCTCAGGCGTTACATTCCTGTTAGAATAGAATAATGTAACAGCGATTTATTGCCTACTTCTTCACAGAGTTTTTTTTGTTTTTAAAGCCACAAGTAATTTTTCCCTTTCTCGTACTGTTATCACATATACACTTTGTCTATTTATAGATGGCTCATGCGTTGGCTCATTCAGGCAGTGTTTACTGAATGCCTTGCTTGTGGGGCAGGCCCTGTTCTAGGACCCTGAGCTAGAGCTGACCAAGACAGAGAATACCCCACCTCTCAAAGCCCTTAACTTTCTAGTCAAGGGAGATGAAGATGGACAGGCAAACAAATAGCTGCTGTGATTTTAAATAGTGATACGAGCCAGGTTGAAAACAAAATAATGATGTCATAGAGAGTGACCGGGAGCAAGGAGTCAAGAAAACGGTATTTGGGCTGAGTCATGAATGGTAAGAAGGAAACATTCATTCTTCCAGAGGAAGAGAGTCCTCCGCAAAGGGAATAGTAGGTACGAATATCTCAGGCTAGGAACAAAAGGCCGTCCCTGTGGCTGGAAGCGAGAAGGGGGCCAAGCAGAGGAGGAGCGTGGAGAGAGATGCAGGGGCCTTTGGGCCAGCAGCATTGAAATTTCATTCTAAATGAGACAGGAAATTGTTATTTTTTTGGATGGGGGAGGGATGAGTTAGAGAAAAGATGAACGCGATATGTTTTATGTTGAAATTTTGTTTTGTTTTTTTTTCTTTTTCCCTATTTTAAAAGGGTTTTTTTCTATGTTTAAAAATTTTTAATTCTAGTTGCTGTTTGAAAAACATATGAGGAGATGAGAAGCAAAAGTGGAAACCAGAAAACCAAGTTAGGAAACTGCTGAGTTGGTGGGACTTGCTCATGGATAGGACTTAAAGTATGAAGGCGCAAGGAGAATCAAAAAGGACCGGTGCCCTTCTTGACATCTGATTTGTTATCGAGGTCAGGCAGTCCTATCCAAGTTCGCAGGTATTGCCACAGGCCAAGGAAGCAGTGGGAGGGGCAAAGGAAGTACGTACGAGCTTTCATTTTGCTTACGAGACCATAATGAACAGCCTCCATGCTCGGAAGGCGTGCAAGGCTCCAGGGCAGCGAAGGTGAGTAAGACACAGTTCCTGCTCCTCAGGTGCTCACATACTACAGGGAGAAATAGGAAGCGACCGACAATACAGGGCAGTCGTGAGAATTAAACAAATTGATATTTACAAAGTGTTTCCTACTTGCTGGGCACTATTTAAACACTATGCGTATGTTAAATGTCATTGTCGTCGTCATCATCACTCTCGAGAAGGTGACGAACTGGATGCAAATCTCTGCCGTTTACTCTGAGTAATTTTTTCCCATCCACTTTCCAATTCTCTTCAGCTAATTCTTTGGTGGTTTTTTCCCAAATATACAAAATCATTTTTATACTCTGTTTCTTCCTTTTTAATTCTTTTATGCATTTACATATTTCATGCATGGTTACATTTCGTTTCTGATCAACCTGATATCTGAAATCTTTGGGGGGGGCGGTGAAATCTGTTGCTTTTGTTTCTACTGATGCTTTAATTCGTGGCGGCTTTTTCCCTTATGGGTCTGGTGATTTTTGTTGTGAGACTTTTTTTGTTGCCTGTACTTCATCTCTGGAAAACCTGGAGATCCTGACTTAAGAGTGCTCGCCTTTAGAAATTTTTGTAGTTACTCCTGTTGGGCACTAGGAGGCGCTAACACCATAATAAATTAATTTCTGGGAGGAAGGTGTCCCATATCTGAAGGGGTAAAAAGATGAACAGGCATATGGTTCCTGGTTCACGGGGGAGATATTATTCTTATTTTTTTCCACCACAGGGAGAGAGGCAGGTTTCTTTGTAGATTCCCTCTGGTTTACACTCACTGCTTCGTTTTGAAGGAGTCCTTGAGAAGTTCCCTTTACTGTTTGCAAAGTCAAACTGGTTCTTAAATTTCGTTTGTTATAATGGGTCTGGGATCTAGGTGCTTTACAATAGGAGGGCTCTATATAAAGTCTAGAGCACCATTCTACCAGAGGGGAAGTCAGGAAGACGAGTTTTCATTCATTCATGCATTCATTCACTCACTTGTTCAAAACTATTTATTAAGCACCTCTGTATGCCAACTAGAGTTCTGATAATAAGCAAAAGCAGTCAAGGTCTCTCCTTTATGGAACTCACAGTTTAGAGGCAAGACAATTAAAATCAAAGAATCACACAAACAAGTATATAATTACAGACTGGAAGGGGACAAATGAAAGCACAAGCCAGTGATTCTCAAACTGTGGCCCCCAGCAGCAGCAGCTGGAGACTTACTGAAACGCAAGTAACCAGACCCTCCCCAAACTTACTGAATCAGAAACTCAGGTGGGACTCAGCAATCTGTATTTTAACAAGCCTTTCAGGTGAATCACTGGCATAAACCAAGGGAACCTGACCTAAACAGAGGGGCTGAGGAAAGTTTCACTAAGGAAGGGATACTGAATTGAGAGCTAATAAATGCGCGGGAGGCACGCCGACAATGAGAATGGCATGTGCAAATGTCCTGTGGTGGGAGGGAACCTGGTTTGCTTAAGGAACCAAGAGAAGGCGAATGTCCGAGGGCCTTGGAGGCTGTGGAAGGAGCTTGCCCTGATCGCTCAGAGTAATGGGAAGCCATCGAAGGGGACAAGAGGAGTAGGGTGACTCGATGAGAATCGCACTTGAAAAGGTTATTTGTCCAGATTCAGGACAGGACCAGGGATGTAGCACAGGCAGACCTTGCTTTATTACACTTCGCCGAAGGCTCAGATTATGGTATTTTGACAATAAAGTTATTTTTTAATTTAGGCATGTGCATTATTTTTTTAGACATAATGCTATGTCTAAAAATTGACTGCGATATCACGTAAGCATAACTTCTACGTGCGCCGGGAAACCCGAGTCCTCATGCGACTCTCTCGCTCCATTGCAGTATTCGCTCCATTGCAGTGGTCTGGAACCAAACTCGCAATGTCTCTGAGTTATGCCAGTGTTGGGATTGGAAAGGAAAGCGTGAGTCCCAGAAAACTTGAGAATCCAGGTTAACAGGAGCTGGGGACTCCCTTGAAGCAGAAGGAGGGGAGAGGGAGCGCTTCTTTGAGATGTCTGGCCTGAGAGCGTACCTGTGCCACAGAGCACTGCAGCAGGAGCAGGTCAGTGCCTTAGGGATGCTCGAGACAGAGACAGTCGGCAGTGTGGGGCCTAAGAGCTCAGGACAGTGGTCAGGCTGGAGACACTAATTAGAGCAACTTCTTTTAATGAAACTAAACTAAAACTAAACTCAGCTGTTTAGTGAGTCTGGCAAAAGTGATTTAAGCCAGAATCATTCCCAGATGGTGTCATTTCCGCCTTTACCTGCACGATTAGCCTTAGTTCGTCTCCTGTAATTTCCCCTCCTGTGACCACTGCTATAAAAATAAGTACATATGTTTGACGACACAAATCCAATGAGACGCTATTTAACACGTTTGCCCAAGTTATAAGCCCTTTACATGCGACCCTCAGATACCACCCTCATTTTCAACCTCAAAGTAGTTCACTATTTCCTAGTTCTTCGGGATTCCTTCTCTCTAAATGGATCTCGAGAATAATGATGACCTCTATTAACATCTGTTAATTCCTTCAGGAATTTAACATGCGTATTATGAGCCCCTGCGGATGTACAAACATCTAGCTTTTAAAAATATCTTCAGCCATTTCCTGCCTGATCTTTGTCTTTCTGCCCGCCTTTCCAACGCTGCCCTGTCCCCTGCCCGGGCCTCTGAAAGAGGAACGAGTGGTTTTCTTCACTTTTCACGCCATGCTTGACCCCAGTCTCACTGCGACACTGCTCTGCAGCCAGCTGAGAGCCCTTGCCTTGGGGTAGAGGAAGGAACTGCATGGCCCAGAGAGGCCTGCCACTCTCTCTCTGGTTCTAACGAGGGCTCAGAGGAGGGGAGCTCCCCCGGCGATGCCTCTGGAAAGAACCAGAGAGGGAAAACGGAAGCAAGTGCCCAGACAGTGCAAAGGCAGGCTGACGGGTATAATTACTACCCCGAAAAGGATTTAATTTAAACGGAATCAAAAAGGACTTTCGTATTTTGTTCTCTTGCTTACTGGCAATGTGGTGACAGATGCAAACTACAGAGGACCACCCTGACCTCCTGCCCCGTTTGTAAGAGCCACCTCCTTCTTCACATGCATGCTTTTTGCTCCCTTCCAGCCATCAACTGTCCCCCAGGGTGTTCCAACGACTACTGTCCATCACTACCACGTCTGGCCTAAACTCTCCGGCACTGTGCTGATGCCGGATGGGCCCTGGGGCTCATGGGCTGACCGGTCGGAGGGGATCTCAGAGGACACTGAGGCACAGAAAGGTCAGTGGGTGGCTGGCTCAGGCAGACCCTATTTGAACACAGGCTTCCTGAACCTGTGCAGGAGTGGAGGCCGCTGGCACTAGGCGTCCAAGTCACTTGACCAAGATTCACAACTTCCTTGCTTGAAAAGGCAGCACATTCCTGCCGCTAGGAGCAGCCAGAGCACCGTTTCCTACACTTCGGAGCGTGTAAGTCACCGGAGAGCTTTGTACAACCCAGACTGCTGGGCCCCAGCCTCAAGTGAGCTGCCTGCCGGTCAGTCTCTAGCAGGCCTGGGCTTCTGCATTTCTAACCAGCTCCAGGAGGTCCTGATGCCCCCGCTCCACGGACCGCACTGGGGCCACCCCAACCTCTGAACTCAGACCCTCACCTACTGTGTGAGTTACGGTGAAGGTCAAACTGTTGCGACAGGGACAGCAGAATGCAGCAGTCCGGGGCAGCTAGGTGGGCTGTGCTCCCCAAGTCTCTCAGCTTCCGGGTCAGCGGGCGCCTCCTGCATCCTCAGCAGTCCTTCTAGGGTCACCGTTTCAGCCAACGACGAGGTATGTCCTTGTAAGCAAGTGACAGGCCACGGGCTCGCATCACTTCTCTAGCCCGGGTCCCCATCGAACTGCAGTAGAGTTTGGGACCCATACCCTGGCTCAGCAGCCACACGTCCCGTGGCCTCATGATGTGAGGTGCCGTCTGCAGTCGCGGCCTATGAACCAGCGAAGGACAGCTCCGACGAGCACGTTTGGGGGCTGATGCCGGCAGGTCTCCTTGGGTGAATCTGAGAGACTGTCTCAGTGACTTGTGAGAGAGTGTCACAGTCCCCAGGGAGAGCAGAGTCCCCAGGCTCTGGAGTTGGGGGGTCAGATGTGTCCAGATAGGGTGTGTGACATACCAGCCGTGTGACCTGGGATGAGTTGCATGGCATCTGTGAGTCAAGCCACCTTCTCTGTCAACAGTGATAAGAATGCTGTGATCGTTTTAGAGGGAGCACCCAGTAAATGACAGGGATTCCAGGCATTCAGGTCACCACGAGGTGGGCCCAGGTTGACCTCAGACCAGACCAGGACGTTAGGGGATACAAACTCTGCTCTGCTTTATTGCCAATTACGTGAACTCTCTTAGCCAGTTTTTAATTCCCACTTGGAAATTGAGATAAGAAAACAAGTGACATCGGTGAGAGGGGCCAGCAGACGCCGACTTCGGGCTCTGCTCCGCTGAGGAGGACCCCAGCGGGCAAAGCTGCCAGTGGCGGGGGCGCAGGACCCAGGAAGCAGGTGGGGTGGCTGGGGCCGGGAGAGAGGCCGGGTGTACAATGGTGCTTCACTCAATGCGCACTTACCGGCAGCCTCCAGCGCCAGGCTCTGAGCTGAGAAATGATGAGAAGCGAGAACTCAAGGAGCCCCCACGCCAATGAGGACGCTGAGAAGCCAACCAACCACTGTGACAGAGTACAGGTGAGGGCTACGGTCAAGCTGGAGGGGGTCTGCAGACCCCAAAGTCAAACTGGAGTGGGGGAGGGGTGAGTCAAGGAAGGACCGACACCAGGAGACAGAGTTCATCCTGGTCGAGGAGTGGGTCCAGCCAGGGAGATGTGATGGGGACACCCCGCGGCACCCCACTGATGGCCAGGAGGGTCTACGCCTTCCAGGCGGAGGGTGACGGGAGGGCGCAGCTTGCCGAGCAGGGCTGGGCAGGGCTGCCGAAGCTGCTGAGGGCAAAGCTAGTGGGCAGGGAGGGGCCCCCAGGTGCCCCACCAGGAGCAGGTGGAGTTGGGGCTTTTTCCTGACGGTGATGGGAGCCACTGAAGGGTTCTGGAACAGCAGGACAGCTACAGGCTACTCTCAAGTCAGGCGGGGAGAGGTTTACAAAGGAGTCAAGCCAGTGCTGCTGGGAGGCTGAGGGCGGCCTTGCATCTGGGCAGAGCCCGGGACCAGGGATGTGGGGACTGCTCCCCACTCCCTCTCCTGGCCGCATCCTTGTCTGCGAGGGTGGGAGGTGCCTTGACAAAGAAAGGTTGAACCTCTTGCATTGGAATCTCAACCTGGTGCTTTCAACTTGGCCTCCAATCAGGGCAGGTGGGCAGCAGCCTCGCTGGGGAGCTTCGGGCAGTGCCTGGCCAAGGTCATGCCCAGGAGTGGAGGAGGTACTCGTAGCTGAGGAAGGTGACGGCGTTGACAGGAAAGGCGCGGGCGCTGTTGATGGTCAACCCCCGGAAGAAGACCCCCAGTCCTTCCTGCCGGGCGCTGCTTACCATGCAGTCCAGCACCCCCCGGTACTCTCTCTGCTTCAGTCCGGCCATCTGCATCCTGGACTTGATCACATCCAAGGGGGTGGCTGTCATCCAGGAGGTAGTGCCTGCAAAGCCCCCTGCCACCAGCACTGTGGCTGAGCCTGGGAAAAGGGAGCCCGGAGCAGCGTCAGATGTAGGAACAAAGCATCCTCCCCCAGCCCTTGTCTCCCCATGTCTTTTATGATGGACCAGCTCCCCCACCCTACTCCTCTCTGTCCCCCTCACACAACTTCACTTACTGGGGTTCTGGCCATCTGGCGTAGACTGGCGACAAAGCCATTCATAGGTGACGAAGTAGAGTCCCAATGTGGGGGTGTCCCTCAGCATCAGAGCCCAGGCTCCCCGGAAGAGCCCCCGGGGCCCCTCCTCCCGGAAGATGGAGGCCACACAGTGCACGGGCCCCCTGTACCGCGGCGGGGGGCTCCCTAGCTGTGCCCTTGGCTCTGTCTGGTTTTGTAGCCGAACTTTGACGAGGTCAAAAGGGGCCAAGCAGCAGGCCTGTAGGGAAGGAAGTGTGAAGGGCCTGGGTGGGGCCTTGGGCTGGGGCGTGGCTTATCTTAATGAGATAAGCAATGGGCAGAGAGGGCAGCATCTCCCCACAGGACCCCGCTGCTCCCGTTGCCAGCTCTCAGTCTGTCACACACAAAGCTGGGGGTTGGCCAGGGCCACCTCTTTGCCATCAGGTCCCTGACAACGAGTGGCACTGGACCTGTCCTCGAGCGACAGTGCCCAATTTGCCTGGCACACGCATAGGACAAGGCTGGGTTGTTTTTCCAAGAGCTGGGGTAGGTTTCTAGCCTTTTCAAATCCAGGAATCAGCCTGTGTCTGCAGTGACTGGGCCGAAAGAAATGGTTCAGTCTGTGCCCACAAAACAGCAAAGGACAGACCCCTCACCAGGGTTACGGAAGTCACCTCGTTAGTGTTGGGGACTCAGTTTCATAGAACCTCCCTCCCTGCCTCCTGCAGGACAGACACCTCTCAGAGGCCCCTGAAGGGGGCAAGCACTGGGCCAGCCCTTCTTGCCTCTCACAAACGCCTAATTAATAGCTTCCCAGTAGAAGATGGGTGATGAGGTGGGAACCCTCATCACCTGGCTGAGGCAGACAGGGCATATATTTGGGATAATGCTGGGACTGAGGGTGGGCGCTGGGAGGACACGGAGGGCTGTTGCGGGGAGGGGCTGATGTATGAGTCAGGGACTCGACTAGGTCAAGATCAGCTGTTAAAAGTTCAGGTGAGAATTGAAATCACAGCTGAGATTAGCATAGCATTTGGGGCGTGTGTGTGTGCGTGCGTGCGTGCGTGTGTGTGTGTGTGTGTGTGTGTGTGGTGGAAGGTATACTAGCTCAGTCCCTTAGCCTTGGAGATGGCTGATGGCAGAGGACGCTGGTGGTTGGCTCCAGCAATGGTCTTTACAGGGTGGCAGGCTAAGTTTGCTGGCTTCCTCCTCCCCTGCAGGAAGGGCAGTGGACTGGGGACACTCCTTGAAAGATGGGGCCCTGATGTCACCCTCCAGAGCCTACTGGCAGGGCCTAGCTAAGGGCTTTTCCAGGGGGTGTGCTCCTGAGCCCTAGGCCCCCGGGGGGTTGAGGAAATGTCTGGGCCAAAGGTAGAGCTGCAGGCAGGGGCTGGTTAAGGCCCTTCTCCACCCCCCGCCCTGCCCACAGGGGCAGGAGGACATCAGACACTGCTGCACCTTTGGGCTGCAGCCTTAGCCGGCCAAAAGCGGCATCTGTGCACAGCAGAGGGTGTCGGTCCCTGCCTCGTGCTAACCAAAGAGTCACCTCCCACCTCTTCCCACCGCCACACTAAAGCACATTTTCTGCTCCAAGATCCTGTTAAACTGAAGTCATGGGCTTGACAGCAAACCCGGGCTCCAGTTAGTCCCTGGACCCAGTCCCCATTGTGACCTGACGGTCCTCAGTTCCGTTATCTGTTCTGCTTCCCACAGAGCTGGGAGCTGAGCCTGGCTGGGCCTCAATCAGGTGTTTCTTGGGGGTGCCAGGTCTCGGGGCTTGGGAGATATGCAGGCATGCACCCCACACAAGAAGGGGTAGAAGAAAAGCCAGGACCTTTTAGAGTTCCGTGAATCATTAATTCAGCTGAGTAAGCCAGCTGACTCTGTCCTTTGTCCTCGCTCTCTGCCCCATGAAATCCGTTGGGAGCATCAGAGCAGGTGCCAAATAGAGGGTGACCTGAGATGCCTGGCTGGGGTGTGGGGTGGAGCTAGGCACACGTTCCTCTGCCTCCATGCTCAGGCTCCCCATTTGGCTGAGGTTCCCCCTGGTGCATGGAGACCTCGCTTCCCTCTACCCCACCCCTCAGAAGCCCAGGTACTTAAACACTGAGAACTAAGACGAAAACCAAGTGACTGGAGTCACTTAATGATTAATACCCTGGGCCTCTCCCAGCAAGGTCTGCAGACTGGGCCCCGCTGAGGCTCACAGGTAGCAGCCACCCAGGTGCCGCAAGCAAAGGGCCGGGGGCGAGGGGCGTGCCAGGACCATGCCTGGGCTCAGAGCTCTGTGGGGGCTGTCGGTTCCCGGGATGAGAGGTCACCTTGGAGAGAGCTCTGAGGCCGGCAGACCCCTCTGGAGTGGGGCAAGCCCTGGCAGCCTCAGAGCGGGCCCGGCCTAGCTGCTTTTCCATAGTGTCCTCTCGCCCCCACCTGAGCTCTCTCTGCCTTTTGCCCGCTCTGTTCTCCATGGCCCTGGCCTGCAGGCCTGCAGCCTGGAAGGCCACAGCTCGGCCAGGCCGGGTCAGCGGGAGCAGCAGGAGCTGCCCATTTCCCCATAGCTCCCCACATGCCGGTGGGGAAGGCCTGGTCTGCAGCTATGAGCCACCGGATGGGTGGGCCGGGAGAGGAAAGAATGAATTAACCCTCGCTGCGTCTGTGTGTGTGCACGGACGTGTGTGTGCATGTGTGCGTGTGCACCCCCCGCGCTGCCCTGACCTGCAGGAACCCCCCGGTGCAGCCGGCTATGAAGACTTGCGTGTAGCTGGGCGGCTGGGCCCGCCGCTCCTGGTGGGAGGTGGCTGTGAGTGCCAGCAGGGTATTGCTGTAGACCCCGAACAGGACAGAGTTGACCACGGCTATGCTCACGATGGGGAAGCTCATCCCCTTGAAGAAACCCAGGAGCTGCGGGGAGATGGTGGGCGCTGGAGTTGGGGGCGGGGGCTCCGCTTTGCCCTTTCCAGCCCTGGCTGGGCCGGCTCTGGAAACCATGCTGAGCCCGGCCTCAGGGAGAGGGAGGTGGCAGAGGCTCCCATGGCCTCAGCAACACCCTTGGGGCACTAAGCTATTACCCAGCCCCCAGCAGCCCCAGACGTGGGTCTTCTCCCTTCCCAAGGCAGAGCCCCACCTGGGGAGAAGGAAGCTAGTACTGACTGCTTGGATGCCGGCCACCCCAAAGCCCCGAAGAAGCAAGTCACCCACCGACTCGTGGCGATAAGTCTTGACCACACAATCCACGATGCCCCGGTATGCGGTCTGGGTCTGTAGCCGCACCTGGATGAGGAGGGCGGAGCAGGTGGGCAGGCTAGGCATGGCTTCAGCCCAGCTCACCCCTCTGTCCCTTCAAGCAGGATGCCAGCAGGCCAGGAGAGGCAGGAAAAAGCCTGTCAACCAGGCCCTGCCCGTGGGTATCCTATGTTTGGTTCAGGTGACATCTTTCGTTCCTTGTGTGCCTCCTCTAGACTCACCTTTACAGTGTCAAAGGGGTGTCCCAGGACCAAGCCCACAGCTCCTGTGATGACAAGAAAGTGCTATGAGTGAGGCCCCTCACACCAGGCTGAGGAAGCAAGTCTGTGCCAAGAGGAAAGAGGGGTTCAGGCAGGAGGAGGGAGGGGAGGGCCTTCCTGCCAGACTCCGAAGAAACTCCAGCTGGCTCCCTCACGGCACTGTACTAAGAAGGTGTGGGGACAAGGAGACAGCAAGAGGGAGCCCCAGCCTCGCCTGAAGGACAGACATGCACAAGGGAGGAGCTAGCCACAGACACAGCATCCTCACTGGGAGCGCACGCCCGAGTGTCTTGCTGGCTTATCTAACTGCGGGGGCTCCAGACGGAGTGTCTGATGCTTCTGCCTCCTCACTGGCTTCAACTCTAAACCATTGTCCAGTGTGGGTTCTTGATCCAGACCAGGCCCTACCCTCCTGGCTCTCTGCCTCCACCAGTGGCAGCGCAGAGCTGGAGGTCTTGGGAGAATCCTGGGGGCACCAGGGGAAGAGGGGCCAGGCCTGGCCATCTCCGCATTTCTTGGTCTTACCCTCTCTAACAGAGGCTGGTTCTGGAGCTTTCGGAGAGGTCGCAGCCCCAGGAGGCAAGTTCAGAATGTGCCTCTCTCTCCCAAGAGAAATGTCACCCAGAAGCTGGGCTGTGTCCACAGCACAGCAGGCCTCAAGGCCCGGGCACGTGGCCCACTGCCAGGTTCTCAAAGGGGAAATCAAGACAGCAGTAGGTGAGGTCAAAGGTGAACTTCTTTTCCAAACCCCAAAGGAAGGCTTGGGTTCAAGTTGCAGGTGCTGCTGGGCATCAGGAAGAGCGCTCACCTTGGCTCTCCCTCTCAGCAGGTGGCAGGTGGCAGGGCTCTGGGACAGAGTGGTGGCACCTCCCCCCTGCACCTTCCTCTCCTCTCCCCTCTGGCAACTCTCAGGAGGCTCTGGGACAGGTG